CTTCAAATTTTCATGTTGTCACCGACACATGTAGACTACATGATGTAGTTGACCATGTGCACATTCCCTCATATTGCTTATAACGACTCCTTCATCAAACACAACAAAATACTGAAACTCTCGAGTTTTGTTTTACGAGAACTTACTGGGAAAAATAAAAACCCCAATGCCCTGTGAAATGTAAAACCTTTAACATCTGGTGCTCTGAATGTTTCACTTTGATAGAGCGAAGATCGGGTAAGGGGAAGGGATTATTCTCGCACAATGAAGGTGAACCATTATTGAGAGCAAATTCTCATGATGGCTATTGACGAATCGTGATGATACTGAATCTTCCAGCGGATCTAGCGAGACTTGAGCGTCGGAACAAGCATATACTCGAGAATGTTGCATTCACCTGAAGAGGACGATTTCGCGGATGTCATGATGAGTGTCGAAGCTCACCGTGACCGCCAACTCCTCGCTTCAGAAAGAAGTATCCACCTATGCCCCACTTGGATCCCCAAGAATTTTTGAGAATGAAGTAACTGACAACAAGACAAAAATTGCAGCGAACATTTATATTATTCGATCTTACTCTGATCCTTTGTCGGCGCCATATCCAACCGCCACAACAGCGTGATCAGTCTCTCCATTACAGGTTGCTAAAACCCGTAATATTCTGTACACATCAGCATCGGGCGCAAATCTTACTAGACGAATACAGTGTATTCAATACACTCCGGAACGGTAAAAGCGGAAATTGGGATCCGAGGCATACATGGCGACGGAGACCGGAGCATCCGCCAGCGCTTTCATCAAGCTCTGCTCAGTCTTAGCTAGCAAGTGAACGCCGGTAACCTCGCCAGCCTATAAAAAAGATGATAGTACTATTGAGTACAAATCTTACCGGGATTCCGTCAGCCTTTTTCTCACGGGGGCGACATGGCTCGTCCCAACCTTTATAAGGGTAGGTTGACTCTTGATCGAGGCCAGCTGAGTTTATGTACTCATAAGCAGCCCCCATGTAGCCTCCGATGCAACCGCTGAGATGAGAACAGTGTAAAAGTTTCCCACAGGAAATATACACAAGAGAATGCAATGAGAAAATGCAAGAGAATACGGCATCAATATGCAATGAGAAACACAGGCATGTGGTGCCACTTACTCGTTCCCATATTTGTGACTGCAATCCACAAGCTCCTGCTCGGAGAGTGACAAGAGCTTACCCGTAGCGATGGCATACTGCGCCTCGAGAGCACCTGAAAACTGCAAAGGCACACACATGCATGCCCAAGGGAGTTACCGGTCGTGGAGAAAGCCCAGCAGCTCCCACAGGAACCTTGATTCTTAACTGGGGTTAATACACTCTTATTCCTCCAATCCACCGAAGTTGGGAGCTGTGTAGTGTCAGCTGAAACAAAGAGGCTCAAGCTGGCATGCTCAGCTGGTCCCACCTTCAACAACAAACTCATCATCCCTCCTCGTACTCATCTCCAAGTGCCGAGCTTCAGAGCGGCGAACTCCTCGTGTGTGAGATCCGCATGCTCATT